ACGATCATCACAGGCTGAAGTGGCTCAAAGCGATCTCACAACGGATGCTTGCCCTCACCACAGCCAGATGCGTGGACGCGATGATCCGAATTCAGCACATCTTCCATCACAACTTGGATCGGCCTCGGTCGTTAAGGCCAATTTGTATCATTGCGTAATTCCTGTATGTCGTCACTGATCGGCCCGTGACACCCTCTCCTACAGCTCACTCGAGCCTTGTCCCATCCTTTCTCGACCGTCCAGCCAGCCCCCGAGGTCGCTTTCTGAACACACCTCCCATGAGCCAATCAGAGGCGAGCATGCCTACGGCACGCTCTGATTGGCTGCATCGGAACAGGTCGACATGTCATATCGGCTTAGTGCCCAGTCCACTCGCTACGCTCGGATGCTCCTCGGGGTCACTTGGACTGTTGATGGGCGCGGATTTGCCCACGTGTTCTGTGAGCTGCAATCTGTGATCGGTAGCTGCGATCTCGGAACGGAGATCTGGGCTCTCGGGTCCATGAACCGTGTCCAGAACCAATTTGTGTCATCCATCTGCCCTAACTTGGCCGAAATAAGACATGCCTAAACGGCTGTGGAGCCGTTTCCCTTTGCTCGACAGATGCTGAGATTGAGTATCCACGGGACAGTTGGATCCGAGTCAATCTTTGCGGTACAGTTGACTTTGGCGGAGGTGGGCGACTTGTCAAATCGTCGTCTCGGAGCCAACACGTCAACATGCACACAACCTCTCACGTCACCGTGAGGCCAAGTCAGATGAGTCGCGGTCATGTCAACAACGGGCCGAAACGGTCGCAGGCCCAGAAGAAGTTCACCATGAGCCAACTGCCTCCGGAAATTCTGGTAAGTCATGTCGCAGTCTGTCCTCTTTATTTGACAGATCTTGTCAACTGCATTCCAGAGAGACCGACCTTCCTCGAAACGTCCATTTCGAGTCGAGCGAATTCGGTCCGAGCAAGCATCATTTTGGGGCTCATCTCCGGTCTCCGGAAGCATCCAAGTCCGGCTCCAGGTCGTCGGGCGCCGTCTAATGCTACCACCTCGGACGGTTTGGCCAAGTTGCGGTTAATGCCGGCTTGGTGGGCACAAACTACGACGAAACCAGCCGATTTCACTCGCTTCAGTTTCGCTCTCCGTCGGCTCGACTGCGTCCTCGATGGCCCTCCAACTGCCCAAAGCCTTCAGAGGCAATTTGTGGAATACTTCAAGGCACCTTTTTGAAAGCCAACGCCCCTCCACTTTGACAAAAGTTCTAGCTTGTTGAGCTTACTTCCGTTTCGAGTGAAAGTGTTGCGGGAAGAGATTCGAAAGTCGGTTCCACCAGAAGATGACCAGCGGTTGATTGGATTCACTGGAAGATTCATGCTGACGCTGTTTCCGAGGCAATCTCATTCGATTCCGGTGGAAAGGAGTCAAGAAAACTGACCGGAAAATCTACATCTGATCTGCATATACAATACGTGTCATTTGACTGATTTATTGGTAGTCTCGAAACTCTACTCAAATACAAAAACAAGTAACGCAGTCGATTGTTATAGCAAATATACGTTTGCTTCATCGGCAATCCCACCAATGATATGGCGAAAGGTCTGACCTTCCTTGAAATTCACATCTGCCCTGTGACCCAAGGGCACTCGTGGCAATGTGGTTGAGTGGTTAACGTGTCAAGCTGCCATTCTGCAGTGTCACGGTTCGACTCCCGCTGGGGGTGTTGATGAGACCGAGGCGAGGTCGAAACGTCAGCTCAACTCATATGATTGTGGGAAAATTCTTCTACCAGTCCTTCATCACCTTACACGAAATGGGGTGAATACCTCTCATAATACAAGTGTAAAGTGATTTGGTTACTTATGGTCATATGTCAACTTCGATGCATGTGAGTGTGTCTGTCTCTATGTGTGTATGCGTATGAGCGTGTTTGTGTTCGCTTTTGCACGAAACCCACAGTAATGGCTCAAAGTGATTAGTCGTATTTGAGTAGGGTTTCCAGACTACCAGTAAATCAGTGTAATGAGATGTATTCACCCTATTTCGTCTAAGGTGATGAAGGACTGGTAGCAATTTTCCCACAATGATATGAGTTGAGCTGACTTTTCCATTGAATTTTACATAGTCTAGCTTTCCCAAAAGTTGTTCTCATCCAGACAGAAGTGGACTGCAGTTTCGACCTCGCATCAACTGGTCTTATCAACACCCTCAGCGGGATTCGAACCGCGAACAGTGCAGGACGGTATCTTGACACACTAACGACTCGGCTACACTGCCACGAGTACCCTTGAGTCACAGGGCATAAGTGAGTTTCAA